TTTTATCGTTTTTACTGGATATTAGACGAGCGAAACTTCCACTGCTGGAACTACCGTCGACACGTGTGCAAATTGGCTGGTATCTCCCAGGAAGACCAACTGGCCTTCACAACGCAGAAAATCGAGCAGAATTTCTCCAACTACTCTGCCCTACACCACCGTAGTATCACACTACCGGACCCATTGACGGCGGATGTTTTATTCGACGAGATCGGACTGGTCCAACAAGCGGTTTTCACGGAGCCAGACGACCAGAGTGCCTGGTTCTATTACCGCTGGTTGTTGACGTCCATGGTGGAGTTGGTGGAGTCGTCTGCTGAGGACGCGGCTGGGTTCTTGAAGAGCCAAGTGCAGTGGCTGGATGAGCTGCTGGAGATGGAAAATGAGGCTAAATGGGTCGTTGTCACGCTTGCTGATCTGCATTACCGTCTTGGTGCGATTACGGATGTCAGTGGATGGGAGGAAGCGAAGAAGAAGAGTGTGGAGCTGTATGACCGCGCGATCGCAGTGGATCTGGACCACCGCCGCTACTACGAGGACATGAAGAAGAAAAGTGCCTGAGAACCAACAGACTCGTAGCATTTTTTTTGTGATTTTGCTTTTTAGTTTTTGTTCTGTTACCTTCCAAATTGAGTGGTGTTCAGATGTTACAGCTACCCCAGGACGATGAAAATCGGACACGCTAACGAATAGTCTATATATTATCGTGATGTTTGTAAGCTGACCGATTTAACAAGAAAACTTTAATGCCTCACTTTTCTTCTCGTCTTTTTTTTTTTTGAGTAATTCAAGGAATCTCGTACAGCAGTACCTACGTAAGCTGTGCTATCGACAAAAACTAAGACATTCAGAGGCATGATTTCCGGTAACAGAGAGATTAGAATGTCCAAAAAGCCATTGCACCGTTTTGAGGTCATTGCGCTCAGCGGCTACATCCAATTCAAGCACGAATTCGGAGCGGTATTAGGGAGTATCTGAGCGAAGATAATTGGGGAGCTTCCATCCAGGAGTCCTGTCGGCTGGGGAGACGCAACTGGAATCCCAGATCCAGGCGAGTAGCCGGAGGGAGTCTGTCTTGCAAGCTTCGTGTGGAGAGAGATTGAATAGTTTAGTTGCAAAGTCCACACTAGAGGTTGAATCCAACAGTTAATAAACTTGGCGGCAAATGCCTTCCATCACCTTGCCAACTCCCAATAGCGTCCATGTCTGCTACCCAAAATGATCTGACATCACTCTGCTACAGGACATGTAATACAGGTACCTATAGCAATCGCTTCCTCACCACGTAAGCGGACGAGTCAACGTGCAGTCTGGTGTAATACGTGCCTCGCCGAAAGCATTGCAGACAGATCGGATATCACCCAACAGTCGTAAAATCGAGCTCAGTAGGTCCGCCGATGACTGCAGAAGCGTGACATGTTGGGTGGTGCTATCCCACATGAAACGTGTCGACCCGCGCATTACAATTTGCTTTCCGAGCAACTTCTTGGCAACTAACGGCCACTCATTTTGCTCGGCACCAGGTTCCATGTGCGGAAATGCTCGTTGGAGTGCATTGGCGGTGATAGTAATCTGTACGGTTGTGGTCACAAATACCATGTCTTCAACGATCTCCATTCGTACTATTCGGGTTTCACAGTCTGGCAAGTAAAATGCCAGAAGGCGGTAGTACTCCAATAGTCTCTCCACGCCTGTACCATTGTTGCCAGCTACATCAGGTGCCATGAAAGTGTACATAAAGTCACGCTGGGCACGGAGGACACACGAGGACTGCTCTTCTTCCACCGTGGTCCAGGGCTCTCCGGTGGACTTCTTTAATCCAAAACGGAAGA